ATAAACCTTCTACCTCTTTGTAATCAACTACCATGCTTAATTTCTTCAATTTTTTATTTATTTTATAAGTGTTAACTTAATTATAAATCAAGATTAATAAATATTTTATAACATTAATTTTTTAAGATAAAATAAAAAATATATTAATATATATTCGTGCATCTTATATCACTTAAAAATCAAAATTACATATAAAATAAATTTAAGGTAATAATAATTATTTTTATATACTTCCTTTTATATAATAAGGAACATGATTTTTTTTTTAAGAATAAAAGTTATACATGACGCATTTCTATAAACGAAAAGTCAAATGAGTATATATATATATATTTAACTTTTAATAAAATATTTTTTTAACCATCAGTAGTATTGTTAAGTCGTATAATAGTCATCAACCTTTGACAAGAAAGTGGGTATTTGACTAAGAATGTTTATTTATTTATTTAACTCTTTAAATTAATTTTCCTTTCTTTGACTTTTGACTGGGTAGGATAGAAACCTTTAGACCAAGATAAGGTGTGAAAAGGTCTTCCAAGTTGGAGAACAAGGACCACACACTTTCATTTTCACCCATGTGCTTTTTGGATAGAGTGAAGAAGAAGATATCGAAGCAAGATAAATTTTAAATTTTTTATTTATTTAAAATATTGGAAAATAAAAATTCTTAATCTATTTATTATCTAATTTTTTTCAGTCTAATTTATTATAATTTTATTTTTAAAAGATGTTTTACTGATTTAAAAAAATATATATATATATATATATATATATATATATATATATATATATTAAACGAGACTCGTTATTATATACAAATAATAATAATTTTTAAGAAAAATGAATGTTATTAAATGTTTTTTTTATTTTTAGTTTTGGTAAACAAACTATGAAAGAAGCTTTCAACTGCAATGCATGTGACCAGTGATGAATAAGCTGAGAATATCACGTAAATATTGACTCAGTAGCTGAAACTTTATCCATAAAATAAACATTTATGCAAACCAAACCATGTCCTCAATATTTTATCTCTCGTTATGTGATAACTAATAACATTTTTCATCAATAAAATTAATCTCCAACATTTTTTTTATATAGGAGACAAAATAAAATATTATTTTAAAAAAATAATTATTATAATTTATATATTTAAAAAATAGTAAAATATATGAGAAAAAAATATAAATAATTAATAACAAGTGATTAAAGTTAAAAGATAAAAAGTAAATAAATAAAAAATAATTATACAAAAAATATAAATATATATTTTCGAATATTTTATAAGAGATTTGACCTTTATTCATGTCAAGTATCTCAATTCTCAATGTTTAACCCACACAAAAGATAAAGTTGGAGGTGTTGAGTAGAGCTTTTTCCACGTAAAATAAAAAGTTCTATGCTTTATGAAAAACAAGCTATCAAAAATATTACTTTATGTATATGTTTAAATATAATGAATTTTAAAATATAATCATATTTTATTAATAGATAAATATTTATTTAATGAATAATAATTTTATTATTTTTATGAAACTTCAAATTTATATATATTTAATTTGATAATTGAATTAAAAAAATATCGACTATCTATTTCAATTAAAAATATTATTATATATTTAATTTATTAGAATACATCACGATTTTGTCATTAATTTATCATTAAAAAAAGTTTAAAATATTAAGAAAAAATATATATATATATATAAATTATTATTTACCTTAATTTTTAATTAAAATGAATTCATGAATTTAGGAACCAATTTTATATCTTACAACAAATTATTAATAAATATTATTTAATGTTTTTATATAATTTATGATTTTAACTTACATTTTTCATTCTCAACCTTTTTAATATAATATAAAAGAGATTTATTATTTATTTTCTACATATTAAACGTGATGATTAAATCTTGTATAACAAAATTACATGTTGCAACTCCAGTTATTGAGAAATTTTCAACCATTCATTTTAATCTTGCTGAAGTCATTTTTCCACACGTCCATTTGCATTGGGGTCACAACCCTAAGAATAACAAAAGTGAGGTTTTTTCAGATTTCTAGCAAGAAGTAATTTGGTCCTTTATGCTTTGTTTGGTTGGAGTGATTTGAGAGAGTGGAAATGAGAGAGTGGAAAAGAAGGGATTTGAAGAGAAATGGAGATGAAATTAAAGTTGTTTGGATGAATGGAAAGTGAAAGGAAAGTTTATGGAAATTGTGAATGATTTGATTGATATGAGATATAAAAATTATAATTTTAATTGATTATTTAAGAAAATTACCATTTTACCCTTTGTATAAAATAAGGTTCAAATGATTATAAATATAATTTTTTAATTAATTATCCATATTTTAACATTGATTATATATTTAAAAGAAAAAACAAATTTAAAAGTGTTTGTAATTGGAAACAAATTTAAAAAATTAACTTTTTTTAAATAGTTATTAAAAATTATATAAATAAACAATTACAAAATTATGTACATTGCATATCCATAAAAAAATAATTTTGACATATTAAATAAATTATTTGATTAATAATTAAATAATTATAAAATATAAAATAATAATTAATATTGATCTGATAATAACAAATAATTATGAAATGAAAGTAAATTATATTTTAGAAGATATAATTTTTCAAATGATCGACTTTAGATAGCGGTTAACCTGGAACCGCTATCATATGTTCACCTCGATAGCGGTTCCAGGTTAATCGCTATCTAAAGTCTCGAGTATTTGAAAATCTGATCGATTACTTTGCCAAAATGATCGATTAGAATGTTAAATACTCGAGATTTTAGATAGCGGTTAACCTGGAACCGCTATCATAGGTGAACATATGATAGCGGTTCCAGGTTAACCGCTATCTAAAGTCGATGGGTATTTGAAAATCTGATCGATTACTTTGCCAAAATGATCGATCAGATTTTTAAATACTCGAGACTTTAGATAGCGGTTAATCTGGAACCGCTATCATATGTTCACCTATGATAGCGGTTCAGTGTTAACCGCTATCATATGTTCACATTTAAGACCAGGTTAAGATGTTAACCGCTCTTAAAAGTGAACATCCGATAGCTGATTAACGTGAAACCGCTATCTAAAGTCTACATTTTACAATCTGTCTGCATAAATTATATTCCAGTTCTTCCAGGTGAATCTCTCGCATAAATTATATTCCAGCTTCTTCCAGATGAATCTCTCTCGCATAAATTATATTCCAGTAATCTCTCCGCATGCTTGCACCGGTGAATCTTCCGGAGTGAGGGTAAGTTGGACATTTCAATTTGTCCAGGAGGCTTTCGTCGCTTTTCTTCGTGGATCAGCGAAGATCCTCTTTCTCCCATCTCCCGCTTTTCCTCGCTCTCATTTTGTCGTGTTTCTGTTCAACCAAACGTGTGTCATCCTCGTCTTTCTATCTTCGTGAACAATCTATAAGTGGAAACAAACAGACTGTTAATAACTTAGATTGACGTGTATACCATGTTTCTAGGAATGAGAGAAATTGAACTTATACATTGGCTTTTAATAAAGTTGACAACTACTTGCAACACTTGTGTGGTTTGTTTTTAAGTGGCAACTAACTCTGATGGTTTGTGCCCAATTCCCTTGGCAACTAATTTAAAATTGAGGGAAAATTCCATATTTATACTGATTCTTTCTCTTTTTCACAAATCAGCAATCCTTTATTAATCATTGTTATGTGTTAAAAAGAAAATTTAAAAGGTTGAAAAGGGGTTCTTGAAGAAAATGATCCTAAAGTCTCTTTCTAGTTCTAAAACCTTTTGTGAAATACAACTATATGAATGTTATGTATATTAAATCAGATCACAGAGACAGTTCATCAAATCAGTGAGAGCAAAACACACAGGGAAGATATGAATGAGATGTATTAAAATGTCACTTCCTAATTTTATGATTATGAATTATTACAGTATTACTTCCTAATTCTATTAGTAAATTTTTAAATCAATGAAGTAGACCCTTGATAATTTCTCAGTAAGTACACCTTTACAATATTTGATGTTCACCAATGATCATCCATCAAAGAAGAATCCATACTAGCTTTTCTTTTCAGAGGCCTTGAGACATCAATTTCAACTATAATTTATATCAATAGTCCCTGATTTTATCATTGATTTTAAAGAGGCTAAAATTGCAATCAAAAGGGGTAATGGAAAATCAATCCATTTCAGACACAGAGTATTAGGTTGGCAACTTTGAACAGAAGGAGATGGTTCTTGAGGAACCAGGGGCCACTGATCATAATCATAGTCATGTCACCTTCAAGTTGATCACTACAACAAATAGCAACCACCAAGCAAAGAGAGGACAAACACATAAAAAAAACAACACCCTTTCATCCCATTAATGTGCATAATACAACGATCTAAGGTGCTTTTTAATATTAATATTCATTTGTAGACTTCAAATGCGTGTCTGGAAACATGTTGTCTTGAGGACAATAACAACCAAAAGTAAAAAAGAATCACTTACAATACCACTATAGTATCAACTTCTCCTCTTATAATTACAAACAAATAAAAAAACAACTTCTTCATTTAATCTTTTGTTCATGCAGTATTGGAGAGAACCAGAAGAAGAAAAAAAGAAAGCAGAGAGGGACACAAAGTTAAATCAATGTATCCACACCTTGTGTAACCAAAAAACAAAAGAAGAGAGAGAAATAAAACACTGAGAAGGGACAGCCATGAAAGCAACATTTACCTGACATTTTGTGCCCCCAAACATGTGGCTGAGTATATATCATTGCTTGTTCATCCTATTCACATACACACAGTACATTTGTTTTTATCATCACTGTCTTTCTTATGCAAACCAAACCATTTCATTTACCTTTGAAAACTCTACACCAAATTTTCCTAATCACTTGGTAAATCTGGGAAGTACACATAAAAAGGTAGACCCCACTCATTTGCAAATTAGTAAATTTGTAAATTAGAATAGAACAACTTCTTTTTTTCTCTTTTTGTAAACTATTTCTTCTTGCTCTTATCTCTATTGTTGGAGAAGATTGAGCCAAAACCGAAAAGGTTTGCAGAAGGAACATTGAGAACAGGACTAATTCTAACACCATTAGCATATGACCCATGACTCCTCTTCAATGGAGGCTTTTGATGGTTGTGTGAAGTCAAGGAGTGAGAAGACCTTGTGATAGAGGAAGAACGTCTCTGGGAATTTTGCTTAACATGATGACCCTCCTTTGACAGTGGTATCTTAACACTTGGTGAAGACCCTGTTGAATTGCTTCTAGACAAAAGTGGCAGAGGGCATAAGCTCCTCCCATATCCACTTCCACAGCTGCTACTTCTCTTAAATCTCCAAAATGACTTGGAACTATGCTTCTCATCCGCTTCCTCGTTCAAGTCCTTGATATCTCTGTGATTCTCTTTCTTGTGATTCTCTTTCTTGGAGCCTTTTCTGGTGGTGGATGACGCATTGTCACAAATAGCTTTTGAGGGTGGTAATTGGGGTTGAGGTGGTGGTGCTAGTTGCTGACTTTTTTGCTTCAATAGAGCATTGTTGATGCTCTTCTTCTTGATTTGAGTGGGAAGGATAACCCCATGTGAGAAAAGCTCATCTGCTGAAGAGGACTCAAGCTCTAAGCTTTCATGAACACAAAAATCAAAGTCAATGCTTGAGTTCAAGCCAGATGAGTTTGATCTCCAAGGGTGCTTCTCAACTGGAATGACATCTGATTGGGAGAAGTCATGTGAGAATGAAATCCTAGGACTCATGGATGATACCCCGCAATTTTCTGAGGAAAGCTCAACAACCATTTCATTCAATTCAACCTTTTTAATAAAACTAGAGCAAAAGAAAAGTAAAAACCACTCACACCAAGTTTCTAAACAGAGGAAGGTCACCAGAAAAGGGTTTGTTTTGTGCTTTTGGATTAAAAGGGCACAGAAGCTCAGGAAGGATCAAAAAGTTGGTAGCAAAATTGAAGTCTAATTCCTTTATTCAATAATCAACACCAACCAAAGACTGCAATAGAAGAAGTCATGGTGTTCAAAAGAGAAAAATAGGGTTAGAAAGAAGGTTTGAATTTTGTTAAGATAGGTATGTAAAGAAATCAAAGTATGCAAGGTTTTTTATTTCCATTAGTCCAATGGTGCAATGAAAAAGTGTACAAGAGAAAATGGATGTGATGGAAAGGAAGGAAGAAAGGATGTGACTGGAGAAAGAATGTAGCATCTGGGGTTCTTTGATTGAGAATTTTGAAATGAAAATGGTGAGTGATTTGTTGAAGAAAGATTCAAAGGTTGGTTTTGGTTGGAGAGGGTGGCAGAGAGATGAAGAATTGAAGACCATAGACCGATTCAACAGCCAGGACAGTGGTTAAGAACCGTGAGAAAAAAAGAAAAAGAAAAAGGTAATTATATTTTATTATTTTCTATAAAAAAATATGTTTAGAGATTAAAAAAAAAAAAAAAAGTGGAGAAGAAAGAATACGAGATAAAATTATACATGAGACTTTAAGAGATATTTAAAACTTAGGGTTGAAAAGTTTACAAATTTTGTATTTACTCTTTAATAATTTATTTTTCTGACTTTTATTCTTAATTTATTTATTTTTGTATTTAATTTTGTTAATTACATTACTTATATTCCATCATGGAAAACGTATTAAATATCATAAAAAAAATTCAGAAATCAAAATAAAATTCTAAAAATTATTTCGTCATTGTTAAAAAGAAACATAATGATATATATATATATATATATATATATATATATATATATATATATATATAAATAAATATATTTAACAATTTATTATAATCTAATTATTTTAAAAAAATTATACAATCATTCATTTTATCTCAGTTTAAATGTATTTTAGGTTTTCATAATATGCCGTATTTATTTATTCCATATAAAATTATTTTCTTTGATGTGCTTATAGAATTTATTTACTTTTCTTACTCTGCATATTATTTGTTTGGGTTTTTATAATATATTTTATTTTAATCTCTATAATATTTGGTTTATTTTTTAATTGAGCAATTTAAAATCAAAATGATTTAAAAATTTGAATTATTCACATAATATTGAAACAAAAAGTATATTTTGAAAAGAAGAAAATAACAAGATTAAAAAAATAAAAAATAAAAACAGATACCATAAAGAATAAAAAAACAGTGTTATGCAATAAAAATATATTTAAATTGAAAACTGATAATGGAATAAATATAAAATGATTTGTTTATTTTTATATATGCTTGTAAAATAAATTAGATTTTTAAAATAATGACGTGAAGTGATAAAGAAAAGTGTTGATGATAGTGACATGCTTGATAAGATTCGACTTCCATATGTATCTTTCAAAAAAAATACGTACCTTTTTCATATACTTTTATGATGAGACAAATAAAATAAAATAAAAATAATTATTACATAAGAAAAAAAATATATACTATTCTTTAAAAAATAAAATATTTTTATTAAAAAAAATAGAAAATCGTTTTCACCTTTAAAATCCCGATTTCATGGTTTTACTGTTTTTATCTTATTTTTTTTGGATATCGGTGGAAAGGTTTTATTAATTTAATTAAAGGATAAATTATGATATTTTTTATTAAGAAGATGGTCTATAATTAAATTTTAATAATTTATTTTTTAATTACTTTAATTATTAAATTAAAATTTTTAATTAAACTATCTACTTTTATCAAAAGTTAGAGGATCGATTGAACTCTAATGTAGTTTTTGAGCACTTTAAAAAAATTATCTTTAAAAACTATTAATTTAACTCAATATTATACTTAAAAAAATATATTATTTTTAAAACTGAAAATCATTTTATAATAAAATAATATGAATATACTTCAGTATATAAATAAATATATAACAACTTCACTGTGTATATGTATATGCGAAACGACAAGTTACGATTTGGAATATATATATCAAATTATGAGTAAAGTATGCAACCACGTTGACAGTAGTATATGGTCATATTTAAACATTTGATTAGCAACCACCATCATATAAAAAAACAATATTTCTGGTTTTCCTCTTGATGAAAACAGGACAACATTTCAGAAACTTGTTTTATTCTAAATAACACTCAAATAATTTTAATAATGGCAAAAAATAAATTTTCTTAAAGATTTTTTTATCATAGTATAAAGTCACATTTGTTACATGTGAATTAAAATTTATAGTTATTTTACATATATGCGACGTTATTTAAGTGTTAAAATTAATGTATTAAAATCGTGACGAATTATAATTTAAAATAAATAATAATTAGACTAAACGTTATCATTGAAAAACTATAATATTAAAAATATGTATAAAAATATTTATACATTTTTTTATGAAATCGTTATTTTAAAAATTAAAATTTATTTCTTTTTTTCTAATTTTTCTCTATCTAAAAAAATATTTTTTATATATCCACCATCTTTTTCTTTTCCACTCATAATGAAAATTTTTATCTGCAGTTGGTTTAGATTGATACGATGAATTAAATAATTTGAATCCGACCGATGAAATCAGTTGACTTTTTATTTATTTAATCATGTCCAACGAACCAAATTAATTATATTTAACCATGTCGTATTTATAATATAGTTATCCTTAAATATAAACTTCAACTTAATAAATAATATATTTCTTATTATTAATTATTATTTATAAAATTTTGTGATATAATTATATTACATAGTTTTTATTAATAATTTAGATTATGTAAGTCAATTATAATATAAAAGTATTGTTTATATTTTAATGATAAAACTATTTGCAAATTTTTAGATGAATTTTTAATTTTTTTGTATATATATAATTAAATCAATTTAACCAAATTCTCGATTAGGTTGGTTTTGAATTTTTGTGTTTTCTAAAAAAATCTAAATCAATAAAATTAATTTATTATATTTTTATTTTCTCTTGTAAAACTGACTATGAAACTCCCGGAAAGTTTTCAGGTATGTCATCCTTAAGAAATTGACAAATAATCAAGGATTAAATAATAAATATATTAAAGAAAAATAATTTTTAATTATAATTGTTATTTAATGAGAATAACCATTTTAAAGGAATTTATATCAATTTATGTTAAACAATGTTATATATTTTATCGATGGAGAAAAATATGACTTGAAAGAATATATAAGAGAATAAAATATTATTTATTTTAAATAAATAAGTACTCAAGAATATTTTTACTATAAAAAAAATACACATGTTATTTTTTCAGAATAGTTATTTCAATATTTATTTGGATTTTATATTTTATATTACAATACTAATATAACCTAACCATTAATTGTAACATGAGAAATGTATCACCATTGAATATTTAACTCTTCTTAATTAAATATTCATGTTTATCTTTTTCAAAAGTAATGTAAGTTATTAATAGTCCTTCTTTTAACTTAAAAATTTCCAAGTATAGGAATAAAACAATACCAATATTTAATTTCTAATATTATTTTATATATATTATAATAAGTATTATTGTTATCTTATAAATATTTTGTTAGAAAACAATATATATATATAATTATTTTTCATGAAAGATATATTTTTCATAAAATAATTAAGTAAAAAACGAATTGATAAAATTAGTATTAGTTAATTCTATTTTATTTCTTATAATTTTTAGATTCATCTAACAAAATTATCTCATCGAAGCAACACCTATTTTATTATGGAGATATTTTTTTATTAAATATGATTAAATAAAAAAAAATGTTGTGAGACAATTGCCCCATAACCCCTATGTCTATCTCTTTTTGTGAATTTGATATAATTGAGGCATTTGGTAATGGATCTACAAAATTTGTCGTGGTTATTGTTTTGTGGTCAAAATTAAAACACGTGATCGTGTTCCCATCTTAGAAAAATCGATAAAAGCTTGTTGGTGTGAAAAGAAACGAACCTCAAAAGTAGGAATGGATAAAAGTTAGTTCTTTAGTAACTTTTTCAACTTTAGTTCATCTCCCATCCAACTTAATTTAAATGCCCATGTGGAAGCGTGATTTGTCATTAAATTCCTTCGTTATTTATTAATTGATGTATTAAAAAATAGTTTGTAATTTTTCAGTCATTCAATCATAAATTATTATTATTATTATTATTATTATTATTATTATTATTATTATTATTATTATTCACTATGTTATCACTAATCTTAACATTTCATTTCCTTAAAAAAAGTTTTTATTTGACTTAAACCATAAAAATAATAAGTTTTTTTTTTTAACAAAGATAAAGATAGAAATTTTTTTTACCAAAGATAATATTTAAAAAATAAAAATAAATAAAATGAAGGTAAAAAAAATTAAATATAAAAGTAAATTATGCTTCATCTTTAAAAGTTTTACTTCATTAGTATATAAATAAGTATTTCATTATATATTTTATTTGTTTTTATGTTTTGGAGAAACCTTGGAGAGACAAAAAGGTTTGTACAGTAATTCTTAAATTAAATATTTGCATATTAGAATGTTGTGTATCGTCATTCGATATAAAAGATTGAGGAAAGAATATCTCATATATAGATGTTATACGAATTAAGGTAAAAAGATAACCCCTAAATTTAAATAAGAGTTTATTTTGTATAATTTATGTAATAATAAGATTTTAAACTTGATTTTAACAAATCATAAATTAAGTTTTGATTTGAATTATGTTTAGGATTTTAGGATAATTATGCAAATTGATTAAGTTCTAAGAGCATCCATTATCCCTTAATAAAAAAAGTGAGAATATCTTAAATTAAATTTAAATCTTATAAATTATGGTTCAATCATTGATTTGTATT